TTATTCATCCTCTCTTTCTTTGGGAGGAGAAGTGGAAAACAATTTCAATAATCTCTTGACTTACTATGAAAGACTTATTGGTGTTTACTAGTCAGTATCAAAGAACTACAGCAAGCATACATTAAAAACACAATTCAGGTAGATTTCTATAGCTGCTAAAGATGTATAGACTTTTTTAAATGCACAAACACAAAAATTATTCCCCACCAAACACCACCACTTACATTGAAGAAATGTAAAATTTGGTTAAATTAAATGCAAAGCAGGCAACTAAGGAGACTAAAAAATCAAACTGACAATTTTGCGTTCTCACACATCTTTGCCAAACAAACCATGCAATAACCACTATTTGTGATACCTGGAGATACAAAGAATTATTATACAAGAACAGTATCGAACCACAAATTAAAAGTCCTAAACATATATCAATGCAGAAAACTACAAAAGAAAAATGTAAAGAACTTTAAAATTAGCCTGTATCTTTAAAGTTCCTTCTTTATTCTTCAACAATTAATCACATTTCAATACATATTGATGCCCACAGCTAACCAGGACTGTTCCTTTTCTTTGCTATTCTTCCCAACTCTCAAAACAGTGCTCTACTATATAGTAAACTGTAAATTTTAATTTAATGTTAATTTTAAGTTCAAAAGTTAACTTGCAGCATCAAAAACTAAGTCTTCTATTATAAAGAACTCAAAGTAAAAAGAATATGTTATTCACTGTTTACTACCTTCCCACACATGACTGTGGGCAGTATCAGTTAAATATGCAGAATATTAAACATCACTAAATTGTCCATGGCATATTTACACATCTAACCCTAAATTCCCAGAGTTGAACTTAAGCCTGCTCCCCAAAGTCCACTCCATCCATTTTAATTCATATGTCCTCAGGTGACCACAAAAGTAGATAAGGTAAAAAAAAGAAAGAAAACAATGAAAAAGAAATGTAGAATTTAATTTCATTTAAATTTGTATTTAAGTGTTGGGCTTTAAAAAATCCTAACTAAACTTCAAAGTTACCAAACTCATAATGTACTGGTTTAGTAGTTTTATCTATTGCCTCACCACAATAAAATAAATCTGATGCCACAATCTGCATCATCTACTTAAGAATATTTGCATATGAATAAAAACTTGAAATACGTAATGTATCTTCCATTAACATCCTTCTAAAGCTAGAGGACTGAATACGAAATATACAAACAGACTACAGTTAACAGTTATAAAATGTCTGTTCCTAGATTGGGGTGGAATTTTGCTTAATAATGATTAGGGAACACAATCAAATATAAAAATTAAACATCAATTATTTTGTATTCCCTTCAGAACTGTGACATATATTCCAAAATACATCTCAAAGGAAAGAAATAAACCTAATACTGAACAATACAAAATTGCAAAAAATACTTACCTTAAAGAATTTAGAAGCAGTTCATGAATATACTAATTAAGGAAACCAAGGGTTTTAACAGCAATGCACTTTTACTGCTTATGGGTAATGCTCAGAATGATAACAGAAAGTATTAGATATTTTACATATCATCTTTTAACTTGTTATAGCACCAGATATTAAAGAGGGGGGTGATTTAAATCATTTTAAATGTAAATATTCATTTTCGTATCAGTTTAAAAAACCCACTTGATCCTCCCTGCCAGTCTCTGATACCTTAGAATACTATAGTTATTTCACAGTGGGAAGGAATAGCTAATAAGTACGTTTCTTTTCCAATTTGCTTCTCTACTCAGTCATTAAACACTAAATACTGAAACTGAATTCAGCTACCTCGATCTTCCTACCAGGAACGCTCCCTATGGCACCCCAATCCCTTCCACTGTCGCTTATTCCAAGTGCCAAAGCCCCTCCTATTAATAGTAAATCCCTTTCATACTGACTCACTGTAACTCCAACTTGATGAAATAGACACCAAAGAGAATTTACAAAATTTGCAAATGGGTTTTTCCTATTTTCAAAGAATTTAAAAGGAAACTAAATGTTAAGCACACTCAGACTAAGTTACAGACATTTAAAGTTGAACCAATTCATAAGCATTTGTGACTTATTCTATATTGGTTCAATTTAAATATATTTCTGAAAGTTTTGCCAGGCATTATGTAATTACTTAGACACAAGGCTAATACACAAGGGTAAATTTCCCATGCAAGTAATTTTGATATGTAAATATAAAATTAAGTCATTACATCAAGATTGCAATACAATTTGGAAATTTTTCTAACTATGGAAATTTTTAAGTACACACAAGAGTAGAATAATAGCAACAATGAATTCTCCTGTAGTCATCCAGCTACAATAATCAACTCAAGGACACTTTGGTTTAATCTCTACCTCCTACCCATTCCCTCTCCCCATAATCATCCACAAAAAGAATTAAGAGGAAGACAGTGTTCTGTAAGTACGCTGAGAAAAACCCAAAGATAACATAAGTATCAAAGAGTAGCAAGTTAAGTCAAAAATCCAACAATGTAACTGTACAGCTACTCTACACAACTTCTTTGTAGATGATAAATTTCTTTAAGATTTCAGTTAAACACAAAGAACCATTTTTAAGAATTTTAAAGAAGTCCATCCATAAAACCGAAAGGACATATTTAAAATTATACTTAAAAGGATAAATAGGACTATGTGAGGAAGATGTACAATTAGCTTGCAATTAGCTTGCATTCACGCAGCACCTTAACTCAAAACGAAAAAAACCAGACTATTTAACATGATGTGTCATAAAATTATAATTCAAACACTTGACAAGCCCCTGAACATTTGCACCTTTAACTGGTCCTTCTGATACCTAACTATAGATTGATATCAACATAGAAAGGAAACGAGGGATTTTAACGTAAGTGGTTTAAAATGTTCAAAATTAACCCTACTGTTCACTGGGAAGTATATAAAAGCCAAGTCTAAACTACCCGAATTGTATGTCTAAGTACATATAGAAATGTAGCCACTTTCCAGGGCCGTTGTTTTTTAAAAAAATAAGTTCATATATACCCTTAAACGCAACGCGCTAGGCTACAGACAGAATTAGGAGACCGCCTCCTGCTTTTGCTCCTAACCAATACGCAGAGAGAGAAGGTTGGCAGGAAAGTGCTGCGAGGACAGTAACAAACACCAGCAGCTCCCGAGCAGGCCCTGCTAGAGCCAGGAATGACGCACTTCGGTAACCCGACTCTTTCTCCCCTCCACCCCCGCCCCCAGCAGCGGTGCTGACACCGCCAACAGCCCGGAGTAGGAAAAAGACAACAGAAAAAAGACAGAGGTTGGACCGCACCAGGTTTCATCAAGAAACCTCGATTATTCCTCTTTCGACACTAACCACTAGGACTAAACAGGAAAAGAAGCTTCGTGCTTAAGCAAGTCCCATCATGGTGGTTTAAGAGTCACTAAATTAAGCTGATAATGAGTCCAATCCACAGAGACAAATACAGGGTGTGGCTGCTGTGAAATACGGCGGTCCGTGGGAGAAAAGGGGTATGGAATTTACACTCCTGTGTGAAGGGAAGATGAGGTTGGGGGGGGCGGCCCGCGCATTTTAAGGAACCATTGCAAACCAACACAAGCTTCTCCTCTACTTACACCTAACCCTACAGATCAAAAGTTTCTAATAGATATATCGTGTAAACTGTAAATAACCATTTAATCAAACACCATGACCCTCAATTTAAAAACTACATACGAGCATACGAGAAAGGAGGGAGAGGGAAGGGGTGGTAGGAAACAACATAAAAAACATTGTAGGCCACAGAGGAGAAAGTCTCACAAACCGGATGAAACTACTAATGCAATATTAAAAATTAAAGCCGAATGCTGTAGCACAAAAAAAAATCACACGACAGCCTATTACAGTTAAGGATTAAAAATAAAATGACATATACACCAAGGGGGAGCGGAAACTAAATGTCGAAAGTACAGCGGTTTATAAAAAAACTAAAGGCAAAACAGGACATTCTCTCTACGGGAAAAAAAAAAAAAAGGCCGAAATCAACAATACGTTTATGATTCTAGGCCAGAAGAAAATGGGAACGGGGCTCAAAGTTTTGCGGAACTACTTGATGCTGTTTCCCACACCTTCTCACTCCCATGGCCCATCCGACCCTTTCCGTCCCAAAATCGCCGTCCACAGATCTCTGGATACGTGGTAGAAGAAAAAAGAAAGTCGACCCCAAGCAAGAATAAAAGTGTGGAGGGAAAAAGCAGAGGCTGCCTACCTGGGGCAAGGATCAGCTCAGTTCGTGCCTTTAGAAAGACAGTGCGGGAGGGGGTGGGAATGAAAAGCAGGACTAAAACTAAAACAAAAGTGGCGCCAAAACCCCCCAACAAACAGCCTTCCACTCCCGCCCTTCCCCCCCTCCGCCCATGCCAGGCAGGCAGGGCCCCCTTCGGGGCAAGGTCTGCGCGCGGGGGCCAACACCGCCAGACCCCAGCCTATTTATAAAATTGTTGCCCTAAGAAAACTGACCGAAGTCGGGCCTCAGAAGGGATGGAGAGATCGATGCCAATCGCTTTCCCAAGCAGTTCCCCCACCACGCGCTGGAGATGATGGGGCGGGGGAGAAGCAGAGGGGCCCGTCACATGAATGTTGTTCCCTCTCTAGGAAGGGAGGAAGAGAGGGAGGGAGGGGAGGGAGGGAGGAAAGGAAGGAGGGGAAGAGAGAAGGGAGGGGGCACGAGGGAGGGGTGTGATCAGAGTAGATTTTCCCTCGCCTCCCTCGGTCCGAGGCCCAAATATACACAACTGAGCCTCCTCTTTCTCCCCTCCCCCCTAGGTTCCCAGCACCACCATTTTGCTCTCTGCCTTCCCCTCACCACGATACCGCGCTCTCCCCCACCCCAGCCACGGCCTCCCCGGCTTTCCTCCCCCGACTACGGCTCGCACCCCACCCCACCTCCAGTTTTGGCTCTCCTAGGCTTAAGAGCCTGCCGGAGAAAAGAAACCTAAATCTAATGCTACACAGAGAAGCGGAGCCTCCATCTTGCGCTGCTCCGCGTTCTCCATTTTGGGCCACCCATTGGGGGGGGGTCTCCGTAGAGGCCCCGAGGGAGAGTTGGGCGAGGGAAGGAAGAGAAAATCTTCAGCGAGGGTAGTCGAAAAGAAGAGTCCTGCGGTAGAAAGCCACTCTAGGAGTAGGAGGTAGGGAGGAAGGGGGGCTGGAAGTTCCTTGGAAGTGTTGGGGTAGCGACTTGGGGGGAGAAGGGAGAAAGGAGGGCTGGGGGTGACGCGGGGGCGAGGAAGGTTCTCTCCGCCTGGACTTAGTCACCCGCTCCATGGCTGCCCCCCATGGGGGCAAAGGAAGCAGAGGGGAAATTAAATGGCAACAGAGTGCCCAACCTCTTTCCCTCCCAACTCCTCTCTCTCGCCCTGTTTCAACCATACACACCTCACGGTGGGCTCCGCGCCCTCCGGGTGCCCCTCCAAACTTCTAGAAGCTTCGCCTCCGCCATTTTATAACTTACCTCCCCCCTCAGCGTACACAGAGGCAGCAACGAGACTGTTCGCCTCCCCCACTCCTCCTTCCTTCTTTCTCAGGCCGGGGGCTTCTTCACCCCTGGGCTTGTACAAGATTTTTTCCCCTTCCTCTTCTTTACACCCTCGAATTCTACTCAGGGACGGAAGCTCCCGCGGTTCTAGAGCGGTGGGGGGTTTTGAAAGTGGCGGTCGGATCCGGCGGGTTTTTTTTTTTTTTTTTTTTTTTTTTTTTTTTTGGTGGCGCTTCGGGATTGTTTGGGGTGTTCGCTCTTCGGCGACTTGGAGGCGAATGGAACGCGCAGGCGCCATCTGTCGGCCACGAACCCGCGCCTGGCTCCCGTTGGGAGGGAGCGGCATCTAGCGGCAGAGAGCTGGTACTGCAACGCCTGGCTCCCAGCCCTCCCACCCAGCGTCCTCCTCCCAATCACCGACCAATAGTGGCCGACTGACTCCCGGGTTCAGCGTCTCCGACGCCGCCTGCAAACGAGGCGCCCGCAGGGGCGCGCCGCCGAGTGGGGTAAACAAGGTGCCGTGCCCGCGCCTGACTTACTCATTCGTTTGGCTGCGCTTCCGCCGTGGACTCGATCAAGCTGCGGTTTCTCTGTCTTTATTGGGGGATTCAGGGGAGGGCGATAGGAATGTCCAGCGGAGCCCCGGGCCATGGGAATTCAGAGGCGAGGCTCGCTCGGGACCCATTCGCTGGGCCCCTCTGCCCCTCGTGCCGCTCCCGGGTGGCAGCCCAGTCGGGCATCACCCTTCGAAGTCCCCTGTTTTGACACGCCCCGGCGAGGGGTCTGCGGCCCTAGTTCCTAGACCCTCGCTGCACCCTCGTCCCTCCCCCTAACCACCGAAAGAACCAACTCCGCCTAACTCTGGCACCTGATCCTAAGTGGTTTAATGGGGCTTGGTTTGGGGTTTGGTTTTTTTTTTTTGTTTTGGTTTTTCTTTTGCTTCGGGTATGGGGAGAAAGCGAGCTGATTCTCTACCAGGAAGATTGGCCCTGGAAAAGAAAAACATTTTTTTTCTTGGCAACCTACTGTTCGTGTCTACGAGAAAACGTGGTCTCTTGCTTCCAAGGTTTAGGACTCTTAAGGAACTGAGCTACTAGGCTAGGCCGGGCGCTCGACCAATTTGTTTGCCACTCTGGGGGCGGGGGAGGAGATAGGACGGAGCTAAGCGGAGGGAAATCGAAATTTGGGCAGAAGGCGTCCAGGGGGACCTACCGGGTCTTCCCCGCCTCCCCCGCGCATCCACTGCTTTCCTGAAAACGTGGGCGGAGGAGGCCTCGCAACATTGTTAGGAATTTAGGTTCCTCCTTATCTTGCCTTCCCAACCCTCCCCCAATGTTTGAAGTGCTAAAAGACCCCTTCCGCTCCTTAGACCCCAGTTAACTCCAGGTCTTTATCACCCCTGTTTTTTTTTTTTTTTTGGTCGTTTCTAATCCAGTGTCCTGGACCTTTGACCGCTGAGAGTTCTCTAACGCCGGGGAGAAAAACGGGGAGGGCCCCTCTGAAGCGCCACTTTTCCTAGGGCTGGAAGAAGTGACCTATTACAGTGTCACCATTACTGTTATAGAAAGTTACTAGGTTCATACAGTAGTGTTTGGTTAAGAGCTCTTCATTTCTGTTTCTTTTGTTAAATTTCGATTAAAATATATATGAATACATACTTAATAACAAACCAAATTTTCCAAATGAGAAATATTGTAAGCCCCGTGTCAATCGTAAAGCTTTCACCCCATATCACCTCTAAAGCGTTCCTGGTGCAATATAATGATTATTTTCAGACCTTAAATTATATTCCTTCCGCGTCTGTGTGTCTTTCATCCTCTGGGCTTATTTTTTTTCTGCAACTTAAAAAAAAAGTTATGGTATATTTAATCAACTAAACAATAAAAGTTAAACAGAAACATCTAAATATCAATAACAAGAAATAAAGTCTGAGACATTTTTACTTACCTCTAAAGCTTTGGGGAGTGGAATACTATTCAAAATAAATTTCCATTTCTTTTATAGACCGTCTTTGGTAGAATGCTATACAGTTTTTAATAGATTCCAGTTACAGAATGATGCAGCTAGAACATTAAATGGGAGTAGTGGAAAATTTACAGAGTTATATAAGTTAATACAAAATTCCACTTGAAGTAATACAAAAATGGGGCTGTGTACCAAATCATTTTACATTAATTTAATTGAATTGTGCCAATTTAATATCAATTGATATTAAATGATTTCTAGTTTTAGTATTACCTGAAAACTACTGATTTTCTGCTCCAAACATCACATTTATAGTACATGGCACAAATAGTTTTTCAACTGTTTTATAAATTTCTGTTCTCAGTTGATTGTCTATGTAGCAACTGAGACTTTAAGCAGTTTTATACTTTGAACAAAACTGAAAAGTTTCTCTGGTAAACTTGCTCTTATTTTGTGAAAAATACCACTGAAGAAGAATAATGACTGTTGCTGGTATAACATCAGAAATAAATTTTGTGGCAAATTTATACTGACATCTGAGTACATTTCACAGTATCCCCCGCCCTCTTTTTTTTTTTTTTTTTGTTAGAGCTCATTCAAAAACTATTCAAGCCTTCAATACGTACAGATCACAGTGCTATGTGTCCCAGTCCTATCCTAAGAAGTGGAGTTTATTTCATAAGGTACCAAAATACCTAAAGAGTTCACCCTTCGAATTTGAAGACAAAGTGAGAAAATGCTATCAAATGAAATATGTAACTTACATAAAATAAGCTTAATCTTAATTATTTGTAACATGTCCTTCATGAGATAATATTGTAAGGACAAAAGCTTAGGTGCCTGATAAGAAATATTGCAAAAGAAGAGATAAATAGTTAGAACTTACAAACATTTGATACTGTGTAAAGGGCAATACACTATTTCATGCAAAAATATTCCGGTCACTAGAAATTCATACCCTACAGTGTACCAGAGATAATCCTTCAGGTTTACCATAGTCTGAATAAAACATCCCAGAATTCTCTTTGCTCTGACTCCATGCAAATGGAGCAAATTTCTGATTATAAATTAGATTTTCTAGATAGTCTCCTACTCTGGACAGCATACATATATATTTTGTATTTTCTGTGATTCCAGACATAACTTAAAACCCAGAAACCTGAAGATACATAAATTTGAGTCTACAGAAATTAAAAATTATATATAGCAAAACACCATAAACAAGGTCAAGAGATACACTATAAACTGTGAGAAAACATTTGCTACGCAAATGAAAAAGGCTAATCTAAATATATGAAGAACTTTCACGAATCAGTAAGATAAAAATTAAAACTCCAATAGAAAAATGAACAAAGGCTATATATAAACAGTCAACTTATTGGAGAAGAGATACAGATGGCTAATAAATACCGAAAACAGTGCTCAACTTCATTGACCACTAAGAAATGCAAAATAAATACCACTTCTTCTCCTACCAGATTGGTAGAAATTTAAATTTTTGATAATACTGTGTTGGTAAAGAACTAAGAACTCTCATATACCATTGGGGGAGTATAAATTGCTAAAAAAATGAGAAAAATTTGAAAGTATTTCAGAATAGTAAAATGTAAAATTGACCTAGCAATTCCATTTCTAGGAGTCTATCATACAGATATATAAGTTACACAAAGATATATATATATAGAAAGATTTTCATAACAGCTCTATAATAGAAACTGACAACAATAGAAATGGGCATTATCAGGGGATTGGTTAAAGAAATTATGATAACATCCATATAATGGAGTCCTATGCCCACCATTAAAACAAGTATATATTTATCTAGTGATTTGCAAATATGTCCAAGATGTAAGTGAAAAAAACAACTTGCAAATAGCTTGTATAGTGTGATCCCACTTGTGAATATATTTATATATACATGTATTAGTATATGCATAAGATATCCTTTTTAAAATTTTTTTGTTTTGACAATTGATCTCATAGACACAGAGAGTAGATGATGGTTATAGGCTGGGAAGGGTAGAGGGCAGGGAGTGATAAAGTGGGGATTGTTAATGGGTGCAAAAATATAGATAGATAGAATGAAAAGTATTTGATGGCACAATGTTAGTATAATTAACAATAAGTTAAGGTACACGTTTAAATAACCAAAAGTATGATATTAGAATGTTCCTAACAAAGAAATAATAAATGCCTGAGGTGATAGATATCCCAATTACCCTGATTTGATTAATCCACATTGTATGCTTGTATAGAAACATCACATGTACCCTATAAAGATATACAACTATTATGTACCCATAAGAATTAAAAAGATACATAACAAAAAAATTAATTAAAAAAATTAATAAAATTTTTGTTTTGAGATGGGGGTGGAGCATGGGGGGGGAACTCCCTAAGCCCAGCTAGTGTCGAACTCCTGGGCTCAAGGGATCCTCCTGCCTCAGCCTCCCAAGTAGCTGAAATTACAGGCAAGCACTACCTTGCCCAGCTTTAAGAAGATATAGGAAACCTAGTAATAGTTACCTCTCAGGAAAGAGGTAGTACAGAGTTCCATGGCTTATAATTTTGCTTTTCACTGTATACATTTCTACCTTATTTTAATGTTTATTTTACAATGAGCATGTATTACTTATGTAAGTTTTAAGATCTTAACACTGGTTGCTCTGGAAAACAGTTTGGCACTTTCTTGTAAAGTTAAGTTAAACATACACTTACTGTATGACCCAACAAACTTACTCCTGAACATTTATCCTAGAGAAATGAAAACTTATGTTTACACAAAACCTTCACAAGTGCTCACAACAGCTTTATTTGTGATAACCAAAAACAGAAAATGACCCAAATGTCCATCAACTAGTGAATGGTTAAGCAAACTGTGGTACATTCATACAGTGGAATACTAAGCAATAAAAAGAAACTATTGATACACACAAAAACTTAGATTCATCTTAAGGGTATTATGCATAATGGAAAAAGCCAATCTCAGCCAGGCATGGTGGCTGAAGCCTGGAAGACTGAGGCAGGAAGATCTCTTGAACTCAAGAGTTAGAAGCCAGCCTGGGCAACATAGTGAGATCCTATCTCTAAAAATAATTAAAAATTAAATTTTAAAAATAAATTTAAGGCCAGAAGCAGTGGTTCATGCCTGTAATCCTAGCACTCTGGGAGGCTGAGGTGGGTGGATCGCTCAAGGTCAGGAGTTCGAAACCAGCCTGAGCAAGAGTGAGACCCCGTCTCTACAAAAAATAGAAAGAAATTAATTGGCCAACTAAAAATATATAGGAAAAAATTAGCCGGGCATGATGGTGCATGCCTGTAGTCCCAGCTACTCAGGAGGCTGAGGCAGGAGGATCACTTGAGCCCAGGAGTTTGAGGTTGCTGTGAGCTAGGCTGATGCCACAGCACTCTAGCTCAGGCAACAGAGTAAGACTCTGTCTCAAAAAAAAAAATTTAAAAAAAGAAGAAGTTTTGAGAGAGGAGTATGAACAAAAATGTGACTATTCAAAAATAGCTTTAATTCTAGTGAGCTATTCATCAGAAAAATCACTTTTTCTTTATTCTACTTTTGCCTTTACAATTTGGGGCAAGATCCCTGGTGGCAGCAGAATAAGGGACTCCCTAAAGTCCTTTAATTTTGAAAATATAATGGAATCATATTATGTAACTCTTTGAGGTTAGATTTTTCTTTTCTAAATGTATTTTTATTTGTTTTTTAAATTAATTAATTTATTTTTTTGAGACAGAGTCTCACTTGGTTGCCTGGGCTAGAGTGCCATGGCGTCAGCCTAGCTCACAGCAACCTCAAATTCCTGGGCTCATGCGATCCCTTGCCTCAGCCTTCCCAGTAGCTGGGACTATAGTAGCGAGCCACGACGCCTGGCTAATTTTTCTATTTTTAGTAAAGACTAATTTTTCTGCTTTTAGTAGACACGGGGGTCTCACTCTTGCTCAGGCTGGTCTAGAACTCCTGAACTCAAGTTACTCTCCCGCCTCTGCCTCCTAGTATACTAGGATTACAGGCGTGAGCCACCACACCTGGCCTTTTTCAAAATATTTTTATACAAGAACTAGGATTTATCAAAGAAAACGTTCAAGAGCCACGACTGGTGGTGGGCCCAGGACAGACCCAGCAGCAAATGCCGGGAAAAGCCACTGGCTATTCACAGCCTGCCCATGGTGGGGCGGGCAGCATCTGTGCTGGCTCCTCGGCCCACAGCCAGCTTGGGGAAAGTCCAGGCCCTGCCTGCAGAGGAGCTGCTCCAAGCTGACCCGGAGGAAGGGCTCGTGGCACAAATGCTGCTTGCTTCAAACAGGACACCCTCAATGCTGGTTCCCCTGAAGCTCAAAGCTCCTTCCTGGGTATTCAGGGGCAAGAGCAGAGAGAGAAGAGCAGAGAAAACCCACCTCACACATACTCCCCACAGCGATGATCACCTTCTGCCATGGCTTCCCTTCCTTGCTGCTCTGGGCCTGGAACCTGGGTGGAAGCAGCCCCTCCTCCTGGAAGCAGCCCCTGCCTCATCTCTCCCAGGCCCCAGAGCGCCCTCTCCGGCCTTCCCACAGGGCTATGCAGTAAAAATCCAGGCAAGGAGGCGGCCTGTCCAGGCCATGTACTTTCTCAAATACTTTTGAT